AGTAGTTGGTGTTGAAGAAAGGAAATGATTGCAATCGAGAATCCAACTGAAATTCAACGAACCCATTCTTGCATGTTTCATGGTTTGCGTAGGCTGCACTTAGCCATGTTTGAACATCGTTTAAGTTGTTAGTTGAACTGGAACAACGGTCGAGGTTGTTGATGGTATCTTCGTAGAGTTCAAGACAATCAGCCAGAGCAACTTTGCTTAGCTTATCGAATGAGCTTGTGTCCATGGTGGAAATGAGGTTGTGGACATATTGAGCTTGAGCCAAAGTAAACTTAAGGCTGGCATCTCTAACGTTGAATGATGATGAAGTTTCATCATCAAGTGTGGTTAGGGTTGATTTTGGGGTGATTGTGAGGGAATGGCACAATTCCGGATAAGGGGTTTGGCTACATATTGAAGTGGGTGATGCTGTTGCATTGGCCACCTTAGTTGGTGCAAGAAATACAAGAACAAATAAGAACGAAAAGATTGGAATAAGCTTAGCCATGGAGAGAGAATGGATGTGTATATTTTGGCTTTGGCTTTTAATATCTTATATAGAGTTATTTCAATTGATATCAGTGTATTGAATTTACCCGCTTTGGATAGTAATGATGAATCTAAACAAATTGAAGTCCCTTTTTATAGATGGTATTTTAGCTCGCCAGGAGGGACAGCGTGAGCTATTGAATGAGATCATAGGAAGTCTATGTTGATTAGAGTTTATGTGTATTTAATTTTTAAAGAATAGTATTAGCAACTGTTTGAGTAAAAATGAGTCCGATTGTGCGTTCATGAAACAAGGGACTTATACTTAGTTACATAAATTAATTTGACAAGCTTAAGGCTTGCATGAAAGACTTTGCATGCACGGTGTATTTGCATGAAGTTTCATATCGTGTGGATAGGTCTCCGGAAATAAAAGTAAACGTTTTTAACGAAGTGAAAGCAACCCATTGGACTCGTGTTGTAAATGATAGGAGTTGGCTTTTATTGGGTTTTGTTTGGATGAAATTGGACTGAGAATAATATTTGGGGGCTGGATATAAAGACTTCTGCCAGTTGGCGGAGCTTTTTGATGGTTGCCTTTTGTAGATTAATATTTATATGCGCAAAATGACTTTGGCTTTTCAAGTTGAGCTTTGTACTAGCATAATATATGTGTGTGTACTGGTCAAACCTTACTGTCTAGTCTCCGATTTGACCGTATTTTGCCAAAACGTTTCTGAAGTTTGCAGCTCCATCAAACACTGTTCTAGATCAACGCGTTTAAGCTCACTGATCCGAAAATACAAGTCCAAGACAAACCTGTGACACTATAGTACTCCCAGAAATATAAGCCCAAGACAAACCTGGAGTATAAGTCACTTGCGAGTTCAATAATTGTAACCAACCAATAAGGTTCTGTGCAATGAGAAATATCCCAACATAGTTATAATTTAAGGTGAATTGGTATCGCCCAAACGTTTGACATCATTACTATAGTTTCACAAGTAAATTTCGTATCTCATGTAATATCGGATCGTTCAATTTCACCTTTCGGTTATTCGTTTAGAAATTATGTAGGCTGATGTTCGGCCGATTGACTTTATGGAAGACTACTAAAGATAGTCATTTTTTTTGGATGATTAATTAGATAACGGTTAGTTTACTATCATCAAAATTTAGGATCAAATTGACAAAAATGGCCGAGAAATACGAATTCGGATGGTGCATTTATATCACATTACCGAGTGCAGGGGAAATGACATCATCAATAGTCTTTCATAAAGTCACAAATACACAATAATTTTGGAACATAATGAATATATCTTATTAATTTCGTACCTGACAAAAAAAAAAAAAAACTCGGAAGGAAAACCCAATTAGAAGACAATGTACGTATGATATGCTATTGCCCAAATATTGACCTGCATTTACATTTATTTCCTGTCCGTCGGCAGATTTTCTTAATAGATTAGGATAACCGATTTGTTTTCATGAACCTCTTCGTTAAAAAAGCTCCCACATTTTATCTCGGCTTCCTATTTTTTTATATGCATGGATTTTCCAGCGCTGATGTTTAAAATGAGAAACAACGAAGTCCGGTCCAATTTGCGAGTACGCGCATCATAAGGCAGAGAGGTCTTTCTCTGTTTAAAATTTTTAAGTACCAAACTTTAAAATTTTCATATTTAAGTACTTTCAAAGTGATTATTCTATTTGTTTCATCACAAAAAATACGGACGGGTGGAAAATATACCAAGAGATGAGATAATAACTGATATGAGAAATGTTAAAAGATTTTTAAATTATAGATGGATGTTACATGGAAAAATGGAGTTTATAACTAGAAAAGTATGAACCTATAAGTTTGATCGGGAGATATATTTGCAGGATGTCATGAAATATTAGAGATGTACTACTGGTCTCTACGTGAAAGCAATAAATTAATTTCGTGGTTTGTATATGAAAAATTCAAAGTTTGTTTAACCAAAAAATAAATAAATAAATAAATAAATAACATTCAAAGTTTGGTAATTGGATATTAATTTCTGCACAAAATGTATTACGCAAAGTCAAATTCTGAAGGTTAGGAATAAGAAATTAAATTGCTCCAGTTGAATTTAAAACGAGGTACGGCGAACACACATCTCAAATTAAACTTTAGAAAAAAAAACTTCATTATCTTGTTATATATGATACTCAAATTAGACTTTGCTTCGTTTTATTCGTTTATTTCGCTCTAACCTACACAATTTTATCCAACGAGTTCGAACTTTCCCGAATGTCAGCGATGAATAATCAATGAATTGATATATAAACGTGAACCTTGCCCTTCAATAAACTTTAAAACCAAAAGAAGAAGAAGAAGAAGAAATATGTTCCATTTTTCTGTGTTAAAATAAAGATCTTGTTTATTGAACTATTTTAATAAACTAAAAATATGACTCAAATTTTGTGACTGAAAAAGTATACTGAATCAGCATCAATTTTTTTTTTTTTTTGGATGTCCATTATTTAATCCCTTATATGAAGAATTTAGGTCAATGGCGGATTATCCCTTTTCTTCCAGAATGGTTTACCTTACAAGTTTGATCCACCATTTTTGGTCAATTTTGCAGCTAGTGACAGTGAACTAAATCTTATCTAATAATCTATCTTGCCGTGTCCGAAAGACATCAGTAGTCTATCATGAAAGTCAGCTGCGCCATTTAAAAATGTTAGGAAACCACAAAAACCTGAAGTCATGACTTTGTTGTTCACATTATGTGATATAGAAATGAGAAAAATTTACCCTAAACGTTATAGAATTTATTATAGTAATATGTTACATGAAGGTAATTGATGTAGTATTTTGCAAGTTACACAAGCATGTGTGATACATAATAATGAAATCCTAACACAAAAACTATCGAGTCACGTACACACGCGGTACAATAAACGTTCATATGTGTATTATGTATAATATCATGTTTAAATTTCTTATCACCCAAAAAAATTACCATCCAATCCCAAAAAGAATATAACATTTGCTGAACCAAACAATACAATAAGTATGCTATTCGAGGCCGATGGATGATGTAAACTACCATCTTTAGGTACAAACCAACATTTGTATTATTTCACTATCCATATTATTCTCTCTGATCGTTATTATAAGACATTTTGTTTGTCTTAAAATTAAAATAATATATTTTTTTACCTGAAAATTTTTTTTAAAAATATAATTTTATATTTATTGCATTCTCCTAAATATTATAAAACACTTTAAGATTTTTTTTTCCTCTTCTTTAGAAAACATACTAGAGAAATTTTAGAACAAATCAAAATATCTTATAATAATAACTGAAGGGAATGCAAGAACATTCGATATTGTGTCGAAACTTCTACAAAGGATGTTTTTCCGGCCCCCAGCCTCCTGTTCTACTTTCTGTGAGTTTAAGCGCGTGTTCTTAATCTAGAACAGTGTTGGGGCTGAAATTTCACAATTCCTAATTAAAATTTTTGGTATAATGGTCAAATTTCAAGACAATAAGTGCATACTTTATGCCATTAAGGTTAGCCACGTTGTTGATTCCACGCAGCTCAATTTGGAGCCATGTCATTTTGGGCATAGATGTTAATCTACAAAGCAACTAAAAAACCATCCACAGATTCCCAAATGGCAGCAGAAGAAGTCCATAACCCCCAAAACCAGTCCAATTTTAACTACCCAATAAATATCATTTCACCTAAACTAACCCAAAAAACTGAAAAAGCCAACTCCCATCCTTTTCGATACGAGTCTTTCGTATTCATTTGGAAAACCATACATTTCCTAGTTATTATTTTTCCGTACACAAACCATGAAATAATTTTAAAAATACACACACATACATACATAATTACTGTGCCCCTATTATATCATTTTGATCAATTGTTTCATAATTTGTATTCATTTTAATTCATGAAAACAAACAACGTGCTAAATCTTCCAGTAAATCCACTTTTGTTAATTTATCGAAATCATGAGAAACGAATGATATGTATATTTGCTATTTGACTTTGGGGGATTGTTAAGTTTTCAAACATTTCTTTCACTTTGATTGAAACGTTTACTTTTATTCTTGAGAACCCTATCCACACGTTGAAACTCCATGAACACACACTGAATTTAAAGAAATTTCATTATTGACAGCCGCAACCAACTTGCATAAGCTTTCATGCAAGCCTAAAATTGTCAGTTCAAATAAATTTTAAGGCCATATATTTATGCACGTAAGCATACATTGGCGTCTTTGTGGCAAATGATTAATTACATGTCATTTTTATTCCAACAGTGTCATTTTACTCATTAATACTTTTTTCTTAAAATTAGATACATACAAACTCGAAGCTTAATGAATTAATATGATTTTATTGACCAAACACAAAACATACACATTACGGATATATGATCTCATTCAATAGCTCATGGTCTCCCTCCTAGCCAAAATACCCTCTATAAAAGGGACTTCATTTTGTAGATCCATCATTACCATCCAATGTGTAAAATCCAATACACTCTAACATCTGAGTGAAACAACTCTTTAAGATATAACGAGGCAAAGCCAAACTACATATCCATTCTATCTTCATGGATAAGCTTATTCCAACCATTTCGTTCATATTTTTTCTTATATTTCTAGCACCGAATAAGGTGGCAAATGCAACAACATCACCTTCATCCATCTGTAGCCAAACCCCTTATCCAGAGTTGTGCAATTCCCTCACAATCACCCCACAATCAACCCTAGATGATGAAACCTCATCATCATTCAACGTTAGAGATGCTAGCCTTAAGTTTACTTTGGCACAAGCTCAATATGTCCATAACCTCATTTCCACCATGGACACAACTTCATTCGATAAGCTAAGTAAAGCTGCTTGGGATGATTGTCTCCAACTTTATGAAGATACCATCAACAACCTTGACCGTTGTTCAAGTTCGAAAAACAACTTAAACGATGTTCAAACATGGCTAAGCGCTGCCTACGCAAACCATGAAACATGCAAGAATGGATTCATTGAGTTTCAGTTGAATTCTAAATTGCAATCCTTTCCATTCTTCAATACCAACTTCTCAAAACACCTCAGCAATTCCCTTGCCATAAATAAAGCTTCTATAACATCATCATTATCAGCTTCTCAAACCAAAAACAGGAAACTATTATCCCTTGACTCTGACGGTTTCCCATCATGGGTTTCGACCGGTGATCGAAAACTTCTGCAATCATCAGGAGCACCAAAAGCTAATATCGTTGTGGCGCAAGATGGTTCAGGAAATTACAAAACAATTTCCGAAGCCTTGGCAGCATCTTCTAGCCAGAGAAGTGGTTCAGGCAGATTTGTGATCTATGTCAAACGCGGTATTTACAAAGAAAACGTTGTTGTTACAAATTCAATGACCAATATTATGATGGTGGGAGATGGAATTGATGCCACGGTCGTTACCGGCAGTAAAAATGTCGTAGATGGCGCAACAACCTTTAATTCGGCAACTTTTGGTGAGTTCAAATTGCACATCAATACTAAAGCAATCAATCAATATATATATATATATATATATATTATATTAATTTTATGTTCTAAACATTTCAAAGTTCTCTAGGTTTGTTTTTTTTCCAGGTGTTACGTTCCCATTCTTTAACTAAAATGTACACAAATATTTTTCTAACTCCAACTTGGTCATTAATCTCTGCGCATTAATTTTTCTATTTTGAGTTTCAACTATAATAAACATTGAAATGCCAAGCTCCTTGAGATCGACTGGGTTTCCTGTGTTTCATCTCATTGACATAGAACAACAAGCTTATTCAAAAGAATTAATTAAAATTTTGGTAAAATAGGTACCACCCAATGAGTCTATTTTCCGAAATCAATTAATGTCAGATTTAAAACTTCATTTGCCATTCTAATTAATTTTTTTTTTTTTTAAAAAAAGAATTAGCGTGCGGCGCACGATACTCATAGTTCAGTCTCAATTTTTGACTGTCACTCAATTTTCCTTGATAGAACGATAATTAATTTCTTTTAAACGTAATACAACTTACAAGTTACAACTCATGATTAATAATTTACTAATTATTCTTTTTCCTTTTTTTTTTTTTTTGTTTCAGCTGTGACTGGAGACAACTTCATTGCACAAGACATGACATTCGAAAACACAGCCGGGGCGGCCAAGCATCAAGCCGTGGCTCTCCGGTCTGGATCCGACTTTTCGGTGTTTTATCGTTGCAGTTTCAAAGGATATCAAGACACATTGTACGTATATTCCAAGCGTCAATTCTACCGCGAATGCGACGTTTACGGAACCGTAGATTTCATCTTCGGCGATGCAGTCGTGGTTTTCCAGAGCTGCAACATCAACTTAAGGCAACCAATGAGCAACCAGAAGAACACGGTGACAGCTCAAGGAAGATCCGACCCGAACGAGAACACTGGAATCGTGATCCATAATTCGCAAATCTCCGGGTCTGGAGTGTCAGTCAAGAGTTATCTGGGTCGGCCGTGGAAGGAATATTCACGAACTGTTATCATGAAAACCGGGATCAGTAGTGTCATTGATCCGGCTGGGTGGCTCCCTTGGTCTGGCAATTTTGCTTTAGATACTTTGTATTATGCGGAGTATGCCAACACCGGAGCCGGTGCCGGAACCAGCGGCCGGGTGAATTGGGCTGGATACCATGTTTTGACTAACGCTGCTGACGCCCAGAAATTTACAGTTGGGAATTTCTTGGCGGGAAATTCGTGGATTCCTTCGACCGGTGTACCATTCACGGCAAGCTTATGATTTTATTTTATTTTTTCCCCAAAAGAATTCCAAATGTTAGTTTGTATACTTTTGATTAATTCTCTATTGGCCTGTATATATGGCATTATAGTTTACCACCAAGGTATTGTAATTTGTAATACGTACGTAGTATATCTCAGATGCTAAAGAAATACAATTTGAGTTATTTTGTTGAACTTCTTTTTTATTTTTTTTTTAATTTTTCCCTAACAAGTTTTTATTTTAAATGGTTTAATCTGTTTTTTTTTTTCCTTTAGTAAAATTCATATAATGTATTTTCAAGTGACTGAGTGGTCATTATCAGATAAAAATTGTATCATGAACTAGTGCTTTTTTACTTTAAATAATAAAATACATAAATATCATGAACGAGTGCGTGTAACATCGAATTTATCAAAATGTAAGTAATATAGGACGAACTTAGTTTACATCAAAGATAGGAGTACGTACGTAGTTGACTTTATACTTTATACGCTTCAATGAAAGTAATGTTTCCGGCTTGAACTATGGAGTATTGTTTTTTTCTCGGAGAGTAATTTAACGAGACAAAAAAAGGAATAATGGCGGCACCTCTAACTTCTTTGTGTTATAAGTCTTGGCCTTCCCTAGCGAAGAAGGTTCCTAAATTTTGAAAATATTCACCTTAGAATTCAGTCTCTGAAATATCAGTCTCATTTTTAACTTTTTCTCTTAGGTAAGTTGAAACAAAAAATATCAAACGTGAATGTCTCCAGAAAATTGCAATAACATGCATTATTTTTTTAGTTACTATTTAGCTCTTAAATATATTCATCATATACTCCTTTTGTCTCATGATTATTTTCTAGTTTGGGTTTTCATTTCTAGTTCAAATTGTACTAAAAGTAAAATGTCAAAATGGACAATAATTTTGGGACAAATAGAGTATTGTGAAATATTCTCCTCGCCTCACGTTGATACCATAGTAGTTAGAATTCGATCTGTAAAAAGGCGTGTTTCAACTCCACAATTCCTTGTCTGCAAATCATTTTCTTGATATCCCAAACTAACTCGCCAGAGTCGCACCTAAGACACAAGCCATCCGAGCGGCCTCGAAAGTATGGCCTCACGTTAATGGTTAGTTTTACATGATCAAAAAACATGTAATTAACTAGAATAATATGAGCCAAAGTTTAGATCAGGAGATGCTATCCTAGCAAGTCTCTACGTGAAAGCAATAATATTAATAATTAATTAGTAGACTACTATAGTTTGTATCTGAAATTTTCAAAGTTTGGTATTGAAAATTATTTTTGCACTAAATGTATATAGCAAAGTCAAAGTCTGGTGCTTCCTAGGAAATAGCTTGAATTGAATTCAAACGAGAGCTAGTACGATGAACCCTAAACTTTGGAAAAAGAGACTTCGTTACCCTCTGATGCGTACGATACACAAATTGGAAATTCAAATTCGTCATTTTTTTTTTCGTTTTAATTTCAGCGTTATTTTATGAATGCATCAACAAAACACAACGACTATTAAAAAAAGTGAAGAAACAGCAGCTAAATAGATAGGCTATCCCTCTTAAATTATTTTCCATCCATCCCTAGTGACGGACCTAGGGGGACAAAGAGATACGGTCATACCTGTTCAATATTTTGTAATTAGTAGTGATGTTTTAAATTTTTAATAAAAAATTATATATTTTATAATTATCACAACCCCTACATTAATTTTCTAGCTCATTAGTAGGTTTTTCTAATTTCACACCCCCTATTTGGATTTCCTAGCTCCGCCACTGACCCTCTTAAACTAAGTACTACCTCTATTTATTTTTATCTCTCGTTTTAGGTTGAATCCAATTTTTTATTTTAATTTTTTTTATCTTCAAACTTTATTTCCAATGTAGTATTGAATACAATTTTTCGAATTTCACCCTTATCCCTCTTTATTTTTAATAACGTATATTAATGACACTTACCTATTTTTACACCCTAATTCAAATTTTTGTAGAGTTCTAATAATTTTAATTAGGGCAAAAAAAATACACTTAAAAAACTAAAGTTTCAAATGTTATTTCCTTAATAGTTATGCAAATTCTAAAACGATAGGTGAAAGTAAACGGAGATAGTAAGAGACTTTTTCTTTAATTTATAATCGAACTATGTAAATATAAGGGTCAATGGCATAATAGTCCATTTCCTTTATCCAATTTGGTTTGCCTTACAAATTTCAATCCACCATTTTGATCAATTTGGTTCTGCTGACAGTAAGGTATAGCTTATGTAATTTACCCGTAGAGTCTTAGAAATAAACGAAAAATGACAGTACATAGAGGCAACGACATTTTACTTGAGAATGAGAAACATTATCGATGATTTGAAATTAACCCTAGATACCATGTCAGTGATGAAACGAGAAAATTGATATTCCCGTTCTTACGTTTTAATCCTCAAAAAAAAAAAAAAACAAAAAAATCATTTCAAACCAAAAATGTGTTGAGTTTCTGTGTTTAACATTTTAAAGTTGTCTAACATATAAATCCCCTTGCCTAAAATAAAAGGAAGAAAATCCCAAATGAAAAAATGAGTGGATGTGATTTGATCTACATTTTGCCTTCTAACTTTTCTTTGTAAATTGTTTCATATATATATCATTATTCTTGAAGTATATGTAAAAATAGAACATTATGCTGAAAAATCTATGTTGTACCAGGTTTATCTTAGGTGTCCTAGTTTCCGTGAGTATAAACGCGTTGTTCTGGAACAGTGCTGCAGCTGGAAACTTCACAATATAAGTGCACAAATATGTACTACTATATGGCACCAAGGTTTGACCAGTACACGCATATATTATGCCACAAAGCTTAGCTGGAAAGCCATGTCATTCTGGGCATATATAATACTCCATCTGTTCCAAAATTATTGTCCAATTTGAGATTTCACTTTTAGTATAATTTGAACTGTAAATGAAAATTCAAACTGGACAATAATTATGGGAGGGAGGGAGTATTAATCTACAAAGGCAACCATCAAAAAGTCCACCCAACAGGCAGAATATATATATAAGTCTTTATATTCAGCCACCAAAATTAGTCCAATTTCACCCAAACAAAACCCACAAAAAGCCGACTCCTATCGTTTTCAACACGAGTCCTTAAAATTTCAGAGGTTGCTTTCACTTCGTTAAAACGTTTACTTTTATTTCCCGAGACATATCCACACGTTGAAACTTCATGCAAATACACCATGCATGCAAAGTCTTCCATGCAAGCCTAAGCTTGTCAAATTAATTGTTATGTAACTAAGTATAATTCCCTTGTTTCATGCATGCACGCACAATCGGACTCATTTTTACTCAAACAGGGTCGTTTTTACTTGATAATACTATTCTTTTAAAATTAAATGCACATAAACTCTAATTCATCAGACATATTTCTCACCTAACCAATAGGACTACACATCCTATGATCTCATTCAATAGCTCACGTTGTCCCTCCTGGCAAGCCAAAATACCCTCTATAAAAGGGACTTCGTTTTGTTTAGATTCATCATTACCATCCAAAGTGTGAATTCAATACACTCTGATATCTAAGTCAAATAACTCTATATAAGATATTAAGAGACAAAGCCAGAATATACACATCCATTCTCTCTCCATGGCTAAGCTTAAGATTCCAACATTTTCGTTCTTATTTTTTTTCCTATTTCTTGCACCAACTAAGGCGGCAAATGCTACAACATCAACCGCTTCAATGTGTAGCCAAACCCCTTATCCAGAGTTGTGCCATTCCCTCACCGTCACCCCAAAAGCAACCCTAACAGCACTTGAAGATGAAACTTCATCATCGTTCAACGTTAGGGATGCCAGTCTTAAGTTCACTTTGGCTCAAGCTCAGTATGTTCACAACCTCATTTCCACCATGGACACAAATTCATTCGATAAGCTAAGCAAGGCTGCCTGGGCTGATTGTCTCGAACTTTACGAAGATACCATCAACAACCTTGACCGTTGTTCAAGTTCCAAAAACAACTTAAACGATGTCCAAACATGGCTAAGCGCTGCCTACGCAAACCATGAAACATGCAAGAATGGGTTCATTGAGTTTCAGTTGGATTCTCAATTGCAATCCTTCCCATTCTTCAACACCAACTTCTCAAAACACCTCAGCAATTCTCTTGCCATAAACAAGGCCTCTTTGGCTTCATCATTATCAGCTACTCAAGAAGTCTCAGTCAGTGATCAAATAAAAAACAGGAAGTTATTATCGCTTAATTCCGATGGCTTCCCTGCATGGGTTTCAACCGGTGATCGAAAGCTGCTTCAGTCATCAGGAGCACCAAAAGCTAATATCGTTGTGGCACAAGATGGTTCAGGGAACTACAAAACGATTTCTGAAGCATTGGCAGCAGCATCAAAGCTGAGAAGCGGTTCAAGCAGATTTGTGATATATGTGAAGCGTGGTGTTTACCATGAAAATGTGGTGGTCACAAATTCAATGACCAATATAATGATGGTGGGAGATGGAATTGATGTCACGGTCGTTACCGGCAGTAAGAATGTCATAGATGGCTCAACAACCTTTAATTCCGCAACTTTTGGTAAGTTCATGATAAAAATCTTTTTTCATTGATTATACTCTCTAGCCCAAACTTAGTTCTACTTTTTATATTAATAGTATAACTAGTTGATACTCATATATCAATACTTTACTAACTCATTCTTTACTTTTTTCCAGCTGTTACCGGAGACAACTTCATTGCACAAGACATGACATTTGAAAACACCGCAGGAGCCGCAAAGCATCAGGCGGTGGCTCTCCGGTCCGGATCCGACTTTTCCGTCTTCTATCGTTGCAGTTTCAAGGGATATCAAGACACATTATACGTGTATTCAAAACGTCAATTCTACCGCCAATGCGATGTCTATGGAACCGTAGATTTCATCTTCGGTGACGCAGTTGCCGTTTTCCAGAGCTGCAATATCAATTTGAGGCAACCCATGAGTAATCAGCAGAACACTGTTACGGCTCAAGGAAGATCCGACCCGAACGAAAACACCGGGATCGTAATCCATAATTCCCAAATCTCCGGAGCCGGAGTGTCCGTCAAGAGCTACCTGGGCCGTCCATGGAAACAGTATTCGCGCACTGTTATTATGAAAACCGGGATCAGCAGCGCCATCGATCCGGCCGGGTGGCTCCCGTGGTCCGGCAACTTTGCTCTGAGTACTTTGTATTATGCTGAGTATGCTAACACCGGAGCCGGTGCCGGAACTGGAGGACGGGTCAAATGGGGTGGATACCATGTTTTGACTAGTCCCGCTGATGCCCAGAAATTTTCAGTCGGGAATTTCTTGGCTGGAAATTCTTGGATTCCTTCAACCGGTGTGCCATTCACGGCTGGCCTGTGATTGCGGGAATAAGTGCCACGGATTTGGTTAATTTCCTCCAATTCTTTCATTAAGATTTGTTTTTCAATCTTAAAGGAAATAGAGTTAGCATAATGCTACATGATAAGTTGATTCAATTTTGTATACTTCGATTCATTTCTTTATTGGCCGCTATAGGTGGCTTACAATTTTTTTTATTCTGTTTACTAGAAAGACATTGTAATTCGTAACATATCGAATACAAGGGAAATGCAGTTTGAGCTATTAATTTGAACCATCTTTTCTGCTGATTTCAAATGGTTTAATTTGTTTTCCCCCCTTTCTATAGAAACAGGCATATTATGCACTCTCAATTGACTGAGTACTTCAGGAAAAAAAAAAGACAAAAGAAAAGAAAAGAAATTCTATTCATGAAATTATGTCGTTTTACTTTTTAAGTAATTTAGGACACATAGTTATATGGTTGAGATCGAATTCATTCACATCTAGACATGAGTTATGTGCACATCGAAATTTGACGGTCCAATACAAGGTCTCGTTTAGATGGATAAGAATCTGATATCCTGTTTTTTCACCAAGAAATGTTTAAAATCTATAATGTCTACATGGGAAATTAGTGCAAACATAAATAAGGACAAGATCACCTACGTTGGGCAATAGATAAACTTTGATCTCAGGAAGCATAGTAAATTAACTGAATTATGTGAGAAGTCGCATTACTAGTTTGATGATATCAAATGAAGTACTCCCTCCAGTCCTTATTAGAAGACATTTTGATTTATTCTAAGTTTTACCTATAATGTTTTTTTAATTAAAATAAAAATATTAAAAACATTTTCTAATAAAGAGAAGAACACAAAGAATGTGAAGATATGTTTTTAAGGTTTTTTTTTTGCAATTAAAAGAACATTCTAGGTGAAATCTAAAACAAAATCAAAATATCTTATAATAAGGGCGGTGGGAGTAATACGCAATCCATACAAAATAGTATAATGAGCAGTTGACTATGAACCCCTTTCCCTTCAAAGAAATATATACAATGTCTTGAATGATCCAACTATTTTTTTTTAATATATAAAATTATAAATCTGCCTGGGATGAGAATAATTTAAGCGCAAATAATTGGCTGCAGCTGGTATTTTAATTTCCTTGTCTCAGAAGTCAAGTCTTGACCATGAGCTATTTTAAGCCTCATTTGATCTCTTGAAATATTAATCCTTGAAATTAATCACTACTCCATGAAATATCAGTATTAAAATTTGAAACAAGTTTCGATTACCTATCTAGTCTCTACGTGAAAGCAATACTAATGAATTAGTAAACTACTAGTTTGTATCTGAATTTTTCAAAGTTTGGTAGTTGAAAATTATTTTCGCTCTTAATGTATCCCGGAAAGTCAAATTAAGGTGCTTAGTAGGAAATAGCTTGAACTGAATTCAAACGAGACTACGACGGACCCTAAACTTTAATTGGAAAAAGATTTCGTAACCCTCTGATGAGTACGATTACTCAAATTGGACTTTACTCCATTTTTTTTTGGTTTAATTTCAGCCTAAAAAATCATTATTGAATTAAAAAAAGCACGTGTATAACTTGAATCTTGCCTTCAATAACATATTTTAATATAAGAGCAACGAATTAGAATATATAGACAATCATGATTGGCAACTAAAATATTCTCCATCTATATCCGTCAAAAATATTTTATTTATCAAATTATGTAATCCTATTGAACATCTAGCTCGGTCAATGTCTATTAATCCTTTTTTTTTTCCAATTTGGTTTCTCTTACAAATTTGATAAAAAAATTTTGGTCATCTTGAGTTTTGATGTCTCTTCCTATATCTTATCTTGTTAATGATCAATATCACCGAGTAAAATAAAAGGGGAAAAAAAATAGAAGAAAAAATGACAGCATCAATGGTCTACTATAAAAGTCAGCGCGGGATGAACATCAGCCCCATCTAAAATTTTAAGAAAATAATGAAAAGTAAACTTACACCAATATGTTATAATTTTTCCGTCTTATAAAAATAGTAAACGTTGTAAATTGTTTATTGTATATTTTTATTATAATTTTTAATATATAATATAAATTATTTTTATGGAACAGATAGAGTATAAGACATCTACTTTTGAAAGAAAGTAAGAAACAAATATGAGGTGAAATTTTCCCTAACTACTATATTTCCAGAGTGACAACACAAGACAATTGAAGTTTCTATCCAACGTCTTGGGAGATTAATGAAATCACTCCAAATAATAAATGTGTTTGGTTAAAAAAAAAAAGTTTATGTCAATGATATTTAAAGTGGTCCGAAGATAATTAATCCCATGTTGAAGTTTCGAATCACATCTTTAAAACGTTCTGTTATAAGTTTACAAAACATGGAAAATTCAATTATATGTTAAAAAATGTTTAGGTTGAAACTTCTATATATTCAATTATATGTTAAAAAATGTTTAGGTTGAAACTTCTATATAAGGGTGGTGTCTTAATTAGCCGGACTGTTCTAGTTTCTGTGAGCTTAAACGCGTTGTTCTGGAGCAGTGTTTGAGTTGGCAAACTCACAAACATAATTAACGTTTATTTTTGCAAAATGTGGTCAAATATGAGACAACAGTAAGCGCATCAATATATGGCACCAAGGTTTGACAAGTACACTGTGTATTCTGCCACAAAGCTCAATTGGAACCATATTAATTAATCTACAAAAGGCAGCCATCAACAGTTTGCCAGCTGGCAGAATAAGAAGTCCACATTGCTCCCAGAAAGCGCCAATAAATTTATATATATCTTTTCACCTAAACTAACCTTAAAAAAAAAAAAAAGGAAAAAGAAAAAAGCAAACTCCCATCGTTGTCAACACGAGTCCTCAAGCTTTTTAATGCGTTTTCCTTCACTTAATTTGTTAAAACGTTTACTTTTATTTCTGAAGAACACTATCTACACGTAGAAAATTCATGCAGATAAATCAACCGAAAACTCTATTTTCTGACGGCTGCATGCATATAGGCCTTCATGCATGCAACCCCAGGTTGTGGATTAGTACAAAGATTAAGGTTCAATTGCGCGTAGGGATAATTTGGATGTCTTTGTCAAACTTATTATATAGTATTAGTGGATCGCATTTTTATTCAAACAAGGTCTTTTTTACTTATTAATACTATTCAAAATTAGATACACATAAACTCCAATCAACAATCAACGCACATAGTTCTCACCTAACAAATTAAAAAATAGGACTCATGTATGATCTCATTCGATAGCTCATGGTCTCCATCTTAGCCAAAACACTATAAAAGGGACTCCATTTCGTAGATCCAGTATCATCACCATCCAAAGTTATAAATCCAATACACTCTAGAATATCAAAGTGAATTGAAGATATTAAGAGTCAAAACCATTACATTTACATCCATTTTGTCTTCATGGATAAGCTTATTCCAACATTTTCGTTCTTATTTGTTCTTATATTTCTTGCACCAACTAAGGTGGCAAATGCTGCAACATCACCTTCATCAATATGTAGCCAAACTCCTTATCCAGAATTGTGTCATTCCCTCACAATCACCCCAAAATCAACCCTAACCACACTTGATGGTGAAACCTCTTCATCATTCAACGTTCGAGATGCTAGCCTTAAATTTTCTTTGGCTCAAGCTCAATATGTCCATAACCTCATTTCCACCATGGACACAACTTCATTTGATAAGCTAACCAAAGCTGCTTGGGTTGATTGTTTCGAACTTTACGAAGATACCATTGACAACCTTGCCCGTTGTTCAAGTTCAATTGGAAAATTAAGTGATGCTCAGACATGGTTGAGTGCTGCCTACGCAAACCATGAAACCTGCAAGAATGGTTTCCTTGATTTTCAGTTGAATTCTAAACTGCAAGCCTTCCCATTCTTCAACACCAACTTCTCGAAACACCTCAGCAACTCTCTTGCCATAAACAAGGTCTCTCTAGCTTCATCATTATCAACAGCCCCAGTCTCTACCAATGATCAAATCAAAAACAGGAAGTTACTATCCCTTGACTCTGATGGCTTCCCTGCATGGGTTTCCACCGGTGATCGTAAACTTCTCCAAGCAACCGGTGCACCAAAAGCTAATATCGTTGTAGCACAAGATGGTTCAGGGAATTACAAAACCATTTCCGAAGCATTGGCAGCATCATCTAAGCTGAGAAGCGGCTCAAGCAGATTTGTGATTCACGTGAAGCGTGGTGTTTACAAAGAAAACGTTGTCGTTACAAAGTCAATGACCAATATAATGATGGTTGGAGATGGAATTGATGTCACGGTCGTTACCGGCAATAAGAATGTTGTAGATGGCTCAACAACTTTTAATTCCGCAACTTTCGGTGAGTTCATCATGAAAATCTTTTTTGCATTTGTTTATACTCTCTCTTTGTCCTAAAATAAAAGTTTTATTTGTTACATTAAAATAATCAGTTTCTAATCATATATCAACATTTACTAAATCATTATTTTCTCATTTCAGCTGTGGTTGGGGATAACTTTATTGCACAAGACATGACGTTTGAAAACACGGCAGGAGCCGCAAAGCATCAAGCGGTGGCTCTCCGGTCTGGATCGGACTTTTCCGTCTTTTATCGGTGCAGTTTCAAGGGATATCAAGACACACTCTATGTATATTCTAAGCGTCAATTCTACCGTCAATGCGATGTCTATGGAACCGTAGATTTCATCTTCGGCGATGCAGTTGCCGTTTTCCAGACCTGCAATATTAACTTAAGGCAACCAATGAGCAACCAAAAGAACACGGTTACAGCTCAAGGAAGATCCGACCCTAATGAGAACACGGGAATCGTAATCCATAATTCCCAAATCTCCGGAGCCGGAGTGTCCGTTAAGAGCTATCTGGGTCGGCCGTGGAAACAATATTCACGTACTGTCATTATGAAAACCGGGATCAGCGGCGTGATCGATCCGACTGGATGGCTCCCGTGGTCCGGCAACTTTGCTTTGAGTACTTTATATTATGCTGAGTATGCCAACACCGGAGCCGGTGCTGGAACCGGAGGACGGGTCAAATGGAGTGGATTCCATGTTTTGACTAATCCTGCTGACGCCCAGAAATTTTCGGTTGGAAATTTCTTGGCGGGAAATTCATGGATTCCTTCCACCGGAGTGCCATTCACGGCGGGCCTGTGATTGTCTGAATTAAGCTGATCCATTAGGGTAATTTCCTCCATTTTTTAATTTTTTTGTAATCATATATACAGGAAATAGAGTAAGCGCATCAAAGCTAATATGTTGATTCAATTGATTTTTTTTTCTTTTATACTTTGATTTCTTTTCCCTCAATTGGGGATTTAAGGATGGCATTTTTTATTTTTATTTTTTTTTATAAAAGTAATGTTGTAACATCTGTAGAAAAATAAAGAAACGTATTTGTGTGATTTCTTAAATATTTTTGTCCATTGTTAAATTTAGATTATTTTCTCTGTTTGTTTTTCTTTCTAAATGAAAAGACACATAATGTAATTTTCTTATCTTGATCTATTTCCTGTTTTACTCGCGATGTAACATCAATTGAATCATTATAAAGGGGAGAAAATTACATTTAAAATGGAGTAATTTTTTGGGGGACAAAGGGAATAATATATTTTAGAAAATATAATGCATGCATTGCGCGTCAGCAAATCGCCCATTGGGATGCTAGAGAAATGGTTTTGGACATTTTGGTAGTACTGTTGTTGGGTTTAGGCTTTTACAGTTGACCTCGTGGAACTTTGGAAGGAAACGATTGCCTGTGCTGCAAGAAAGATACTCCCCATTTTTTCTTTTTCTTTTTTTTTTTTTAAAAAAAGAGAATAAAGTCTTTAATTTCAAAAGTTTGAATTAATCAACCAAACACGACAACTATTTGTCAAAGGCTTTCAAGTTTCAGTACTAAACTAAATGAAAGAAGGCTACAACCATCTTTTCTACACGGCTCGGGGATCCTTTGAAAATTGATGAACTTTAATGATCCCGAATCCGAACAATCCAATCATTACTCGATCTTTTTTTTCAGATTAGCGGATAGAAGGTGATCTGGGATGAGAATTGTTCCAGAATCTGAGAGAAAGTACGCATCAAGGTTGTAAAGAAATGGAGATTTGGGCTAAACCATGTGGGTTCTATATTGGGCCAAAGTTGGTTTGGTAAAGAAATGGTAATTCAAAATCCAGAATACCATTTCACATATGGGCCATTTGTTTTGGAAGATGAACTGGAGCGAGGCATCAAAAGAATTAAGAAAAAAAAAAAAAAAAACGAGTGAGGCGGTTTTTGTTTTGGGTTGAAATTAGTACAGTAATTCAACGCTTGTTAGAAAAAATGGAAACACGTCGAAAAATTGATACTCTCTCCGTTTTGATGATTATCTACTTCAAATTTTTATTTAGGTGCAAATTGAATCAAAAGTAAAAATTTAAATAAAAAATAATTTTAAAATAAGAAAAAATAGTTACAAAAAAATTAGGCTTAAATATGTAAAATTAACCCTCACAAAAAAAATCCTAAAACAAAAGAGCAATATTTTAGAGAGATGTGCTAGCGGCAAGCAGAAGTAAGATTATTAGATATTGTTTCAAAAAATAATTTACTTTACAATTTATGAATTGTACTGTTATTAATATAATTCACGAATTATAATGCATTGTAGATTATTTTTGTGACACAATTCACGAATTATAATACATTGTAGATTATTTTTGTGACACGAGTATCACGTGAGGGTTTTTCTACAAGTTGCTCATAAGAATAACCTCAAATTTGCGTGAACCGGCAAACCTTTTAACTTTAGGAGCTAGTTAAGAATGTGCTCATGATTGAACGGTTTTGGCTTATCATTTTTCTTGACCAAGATTGGACATTCGAAACTTGCTTTGAGCAACATGTACAAACTCCTCGGTTGCTCTTCTATTTATAAAAGCCTATAATTGTAGTAAGAGGATTTGGTTATTGTTATGAGAAATATATTTTTTTAAAGAATTTGTTTAGATGGTTGCAAAAATGGGGAGGGAGGGGGAGCTGTATTTGTATGTGTTTATATATATATTTTTTAGTACAGAGAAAGAAACTAAAATGACCAAAACTAAGCTATTACATTCCGCGGGTAAGTTATCCCGATCACATCATGTTGGATCTAGGATAGCACTTCCAGCGGAGATTCACATAAGGTTTGTACTCCCCATTCTGTTTGATTTTGCAGACCAGCAAGGCAATCTGTAGCGAAGTTGGTTTCGCGGTGACAGTGTTTAATATCCAGTTCCCAATATCTTCTCTTGAGATCCTGGATACCAGCAATTATGCCAGTATGTGTTTATAATTCAATTTGCCTAAACATATAAGAAAAAAATATGTTGCTTAAAATGGGCACACAACCATTGAAGAATTTTCTACGTAATTAAGCAATGACGCGATCTACAATAGCCTTAAGTCAAAGCTAGAGTTGCATAATTGTTATTTAGAAATAGAACAGTTCATGTAATGAAGACCGTTAAAAATAACTTGCTCACTGGGACAAATTGTATGATAAAAAATTCTAAAGTTTTATCCATTTTATAGATTGATGGATGTTACATGGAAACTTAATTATTTGATTTCCATGGAAAACAATAGAGTTTGTGAATAGAAAATATGCCATCCCTCCCAATACTAAAATGATTTAGTGAACATGATTCTTGTTTTGGAACGAAAAATGTGTAAATCAATAATTTTTTATCAGGAGATGCTAATCTAATCTACAGACAGTCTCTACGTGAAAGCAATACATTTAATTTGTAGTTCAACATGAAATTTTCAAAGTTTGGTAATTGAAAATTAATTTTTGCACTCAATGTATTACGCGTAGTCAAAGTCTGGGTATTATTAGTCGGAAAACAGCTTTAAACGAATCGAATAGGAGATTCGACGAACATAGCTCAAATGCGGCCTAAACTTTGGGTGGTGATATCCAAATTGGACTTGGCTTCGTTAATTTTATTTCGGTGTTTTTTTTTCATGTTTTGGTTCAACATTTCTTATTATGTCACCGAAGAAAAAAATTAAAGTATTTAATATAAAGACGTGTTCCTTTCCTTCGAGAAACAATTAAACAAAAAAAAAAAAAACAGCAATTGCCTATGTCTGGATTATTATAACTTTTTAAAAAATGTCTCTTTTTTTCCGACTTCAACATTTTTTTTTTGATATAGATTTGGAAGACCCCCCTCTTTTTACACTTTCAGTATATAGTTTTACATTCCTAAGAAAAAAATTCCAAAAAAAGTTACTATCTACGAAAGTGCCCTTTTATTGTCTTAAAAGAAGAACGTTAAATTATTTAAAAGACTCAAAAAATATATCGAATCAGCTAGACCTTTTATTTGGATGTCCATTATTTTATTTGTTTGGAATATTTGGTGTTTGTTGAATTATTTTGAAGACTGAAGGAGCATATCGAATCAACTAGCTTCTTTTCTCTTGGATGGTCATTACTGTATCTGTATGGAGTGTGGCATATTATCCTTTTTCTTCCAAAATGGGTTGCCTTACAAAGTTTGGTCCATCATTTTTGGTCAATCTTGTGGATAGTGTCTAGTGACAGTAAACTAAATCTGTATTGTTGTGTCAAATAACTTATTGTCCAATTGTAGATTTATTTGTTAGATAAATTATAATAAAAGTGAAAATTCAAATTAAATGATTATTTTGGAATCAGTCTCCATAAATTGAGCAGGCTGACCAGCAGCCCATTTACTTTTTTCTTTAATTCATTTTAATCAGAAATATGTTCGATTTTTGTACTCCCTTTGTCCCAAAATTATTGTCAGTTTGAGATTTCAAACTACAATTTGAATTAAAAATGAAAACTCAAACTGGACAATAATTTTAGGACGGAGGGAGTAGTAAATACTAATGTGATGATTACAACTCAGACAAAAATATGTTAACCCTGTATTTCAAAACTGATATTGATATTCTAACATGAAAACTATAATCCATCAAGCCACATGCGAAATATGATCGATTACTGTTGTGAGATTTTGTTCCACACTACTGATTTTTTAAGTACATGACAAGGGAATTCATAAAAGTGAAAATATATAAGGCTCCGTTTGGTTGGATTGAATTGAAATTGAATTAGAATTACAATATAATAGAATTGAAAATGAGATATTAACATTATAATTTAATTTCAATTCCTTTGTTTGGAAGATCATAAGAATTAATAAGAATTAAAGTTCCAATACAAATTCTTGTATTTGGATGTATAAAAATATTATATACTGTAGAATTAACTTGTTATTATACAACTAATATAATTTGTACTACTTTTGACCATAAAATGAATCACCTAATTTTTCATATAAAAATTGTACATCATAATTATGTAAACATAGGATTAAAAATGAATAAATTTTA